CCATTGGCAAGGTTCGAGGGGTTTGAGGGGTTTGAGGCGGCCAGTATGGCAGAACCATTGGCAAGGTTCGAGGGTGGCAGTTTCGGGCCACTAGAAAAAAAGGATTTGGCGCGCCAGAGCCCGAGCCCACAGTCTGCGCAACTCCGCCCACAGTCTCGCACAGAGCCCAGAGCCCACAGTCTAGCAAGTGCGAGGTTTTGGAGCGTCTCCAACGGCCAGTATCCAGTATGGCAGAACCATTGGCAAGGTTCGAGGGGTTTGAGGGGTTTGAGGGGTTTGGCGCGCCACAGCCCCGAGCCCACAGTCTGCGCAACTCCGCCCACAGTCTCGCACAGAGCCCAGAGCCCACAGTCTAGCAAGTGCGAGGTTTGGGAGCGTCTGAAGCGGGCCCAGAAAAGCAAGGATTTGGAGAGCTCAGGTTCCACACCTTCGGTGGTCCCAGGCGCCGCCCCTGCCTTCGCCAAAGCAGGGGTCGGCGGATATATAACATTTAAACAGTCAAATATTTATACCATTTGTATCCAATGTGGTCCCACGAGTTCCTCCACTCCTTAGCCCTTAGGCGACGCCCTCGGGCGGGGGTATCCCCGTGGTGCCCATCGCCATTGGCCTGGTGGTGGCCAACGTGCTGATCTGGGGCTGCTCGATGTGAATGCCGAACAAAAGGGTCTCGCCGGTGAAAAGAGATGCTTGTTTACTAGTCTTCCTGCGGATCCCTACAGTTCCCAATGCATTAGCGTGTGCTTGCGGCTTCTTTCACTCCGTTTTTTTTCTACAATCCGTAAGATTTCTAGGTGGCGAATGATAAAGCATGATAAAGCCTATCAAGCCGCCTCACTCATGCTTTGGCCGAGTGAACCAACCCAGCTTTACTATTGCTGGAACTCCTCGAATCTGGTGTATGTTTGGAATATACTGACATAATCTGACATATACTGTGTTGCATCTTTGGCTGTTTCGTGTTCTCGCGCATTCTCTTTGCAACTAAGTGTGAAAGAGGCAAGATGACTTACTGTAGTCAGTGACATTTAAGTCGAGCAGTTGGGCATGATCTGAGGACCTCAAAAAACAGTAAAAAACAAATATGACTATATAACTAAATACTGCGATAAAATGGCCAGCATCCTCCCACTCTCAGGTGCAATTTGGTGCATCAAGAAGAAGCGAAATGGCTACAGCAATTATTCCAGCGATGAAGAGGCCGGCGACAGATTGACCTGGCATCCTGGAAAGAACGAACCGTGGCACCCAGGGTTGAGTTGTAGGTGTAAGGATCAACGCGTTGCCTCAGTTTGCGCGTATAGAACTTGAGCCTGGAACGTTCCAGGACACAGCTCCATTGGCCAAAGACCATCGCCGAAGCTTGGACCAACTATTTATTTGGTATGGCAAATAGGAACATGTTTTAAGCCCGCTCCTACTTCAATAAGTAGGCACCTGCTTAGTTATATATGGCAGGGAGTAGTTCGCTACTAGCCATAAATAGGAAGCTCCTAGCTAGGACGCAGAATAGCTCACGCAGAAGCGCTCCCACCAATGATTTGGCTTCACATGTAGTGACGAACATGCTTTTACACGAGTTGGTATGGCTTCACATCCAGGATATATCAACACATGTGTAGATCCATACTTATTGGCAGGTTGGCGCTCAGGTTGGGGTCAGGATAAGAGCCCATTACAGGGTTGGATCCACTTGTTCTATTTTGGTCATCATGGGTCATTTGCCATTGACTAGCCAATGGCTTGGCTGAGATAGGGAGAAATGGTGAAGGGCAAGGTGTTGATTTTGCTTGGTCTTTGGACATCTTTGGAAACATAATTCCCACTCATTGCATTTAATACATGGTGACATGATCCAGGTGTTGGGATGAGGTGGGATTCTCCATGGGTCGTCGCCAGGGATAATGTTTCATGCGTAGTGGCATACGTAGCTGTTATCAACATTGTCAAAGTAGATAAGTCAAAATCAGCGAAGACAACTTGTATGGCCTACGTCATTGCTTGAGTCCGCGGAAGGTTGCGCTGAAATACATACATGTTGCAGAGTAACTTTTGGCCACTGTAAACAGATGTATATAAACATACATACATATATATAAATATATAATAGAATATATATTACAGTTTGAGAGTTCAGTTTACATTGTTTCTCTCTTCAAGTATGTGAAGGGGCTGGTGCAGAGAACGTTATTTTGGTACCCACATCTCAAGATCACCCCATGTACCAGAAATTCTAAGATCGACTCATGCCCCATTCCGACGCTGAACCGAGGCTTTCAGGGGCCCGGCCACTGAGTACAGAGGATTAGGACACCGGAAACTGCGTGAAAGAGACGCGGATTCCTCAGAAGGGAAGAAGAGCTTTTGGCACCTGGACGATGCGTGATTGGCCGGTGAATTGCACGATTGGAGCTCCTTTGATTGTGAAAAGATGTTTAAAGATGTTTGACGCATGTGGGCAATCTTGCTGCAAAAAGCCTCTCTGTCTATGTGAGCAGAGGATATGTGAGTCCTTCGGTTGGTAGTGTTTTAGTATCAAGAGAGTCTTAAAGATTTGTCCACACTGTAAGACAGAAGGAATTCTGACTTGGTTGCACATGAGTCAGGGAGAGATCTTTGGTAGTTGATAATGACCACAAAGGATATCAGGGCAGCAGACCCAGACCACAATCGATTGCATGAGTGGCTTGTTTGCTTGGTTTGACAGCTTCAGCATCCCCAGGGCCAGGCCCTTTTGTGCAGATTGATATACTGTAGATTGATCAAGTTGGCTGACATTCAAGGGCTCAGTGTATTCACAGGTCACTTGTGGATATCGAAGACGGATGGACCAAGACCAGAAAAGGGCCATTTTCGAGGAACAAATGTTAACTGTAGTTAGCTTTTATACGGTTTTGCCTGGGCCAAGGTTGAAGAAGGTTGAAATTTGGACCGGTGGGAGGCTAGTGAGTCCACAAGCACAGTTGCGATATTACGAAGCACTGATAATGCTTCAAGTCTCCAAGGTATAGATGTTCAGGCGTCCAACCATAGTTACAGTTAATTACAAAGGTTACATTCATCAATGTTCTTGTTTCGCTCATGCGTTGGCCCGAACTCACAGTCCAGCCAACCCGTTGTGTCACCCTTTGGGGGCTGGGCGCTACGGGCGCCGACTAGAGCTGGCCCCCGAAAAACCAATGCCTCGTCAATGGACCACGGTCGGCTCTCCCAATACAAGGCTCCTGGACACACAGAGCACAGGAGCAGAAGTCGCCCCAGCAACCTAAAAAAGAAAGGAAGTTGTTTGTTACTAATAGTAATGCACTTGTTACTACTACACTTGTTACTAGTAGAAATGCCCGCCTTGATACTATTAGGGAGGAGGGAGGACCCACAGCGTCAATGGCAACATGTTTGTTGTTTTTTTCAGTTTGTTGGGGTGGGGCTACAGAGGTTTGACTTGTACCCAGATGGAGTCTGACTTGGTATAGGGATGTTTCATAGACAGTCATTTGGAGTCATCCATTTGTAGAACAAAATGGTAAACTGCGGATGAGGGCAGCATATTATCTCGCCGCAGCTAAATTCGTACGGCACAGACGTATTTATCCGGCATTGTTGCCCACTAAGGGGTGGGCCCTTACCACAATGTGTTCCACAAGCTTCCATTTGACACCATTGAAGGAGCGAGTCGACGTAGAAGTCGAGCCGTGGCTGGTGGTCTTCGTTCCGAAACATCCCAGCCAGCGACCGCCGCAAATGTGAGAAACACTGCGACCGCGGGCCGCAGGCCGAGGCAAGTTAGTGTGCCAAAGCTGAGCACCTGATAACAAGAGAAGGACGTAATTGGTTGTAGCAAGTAGAACAGACTCGACGCGTTTGCGTTTGCACCAGGTAGGTACTTGTACTCTCCAATAAGTTGTAAAATGCCAAGGAACCCACTTGCGGACACCTAATGTTGGTGCGCACTCAGGAATTGAATGGCTGAACGACTATGGTGGAGTCCAGAAGGAGCACAGTCACCAGTTCGTGGGCTGTAAACAATGTTGTGCCAAGTATACTGATGCAAACATGCATGACTGGGCAGGGTACCTCTTAATAGCGAAAGTCATATTTTAATAGACATTGCCAAATCATTGTCTCACTTTCTCTTTGTGGAGTTGCAAGCACAACTGCCCTGCTCTTTGCAGTCATGTGCAGGTCAGAAGCAAGACACATGTTGTGAGTAGGACTGGTTAAGTCAGCTCCTGGATCTAGCTAAAAATCTGCGATGTGTGAACACATATTGAACCATTTTGATACATTGGGAGAATGGTGAACCCCCATCCCTTGTTTTGCTAGCTTCGATCCACTGGAGTTTCCAATCCCAGAAATCCGGGTGGAGGATATCAACTACAACAAGGTGGTGGCAGCTTTGGAGCAGGTGGGGACCTTAGGAGCGACAAAAACAGAGGTTTGGAGATGGGCAGGATCGGAGGGCGAGAGGTGGTGCCAGAGGTGTTCAACAACAGGCGCAGCTGGTTTCCGATGCCAAACATGGATCTGAGTAAGTGGGTTCAAACCACTCAATTGTGACGACTTGCAGATATAGTAGAGTTGGATGTCCAGCAACAGGAGTGTCACCACAGACTGAGACCTGTTTCCTCATGCATCATTTCTGTGTTTAGCAGCCTATCAGGTGGGTCTGGAGTCGGCGATGAGAATCCTGAAGGACTTGGAAGATCAGGCCGCAGGCGGTACACATCCGGACAAGTCGTCGCGCGGATGGCGCGCGAGCCCACGGTGCCATGTGGTGGCACGCGCGGCAGGTGTGGCAGATCCCAATGAGTTCATTCTGAGCTCACTGAAGAAGCCGGTAGGTCCCACCGGAGGAGAGGGCTGGCGGCTGGGGGTGGACCGACCAACAGGTGGGTGGAGACAGGTCATAAGAAGGAGCATGATAGAAGCTGCAAGGATCGCAGGGTGGTAAGTGGTAAGTTGAAAGGGACATCCTGTATGCCAGGTGGTGCAGGATCTTTTTCATCAACAGTATGTCAGAGATCGTACAAATCCCTTGGACAGCCTGAGGAGCCAGTGGCAGCAGTGATGGCGGAATACCGAAGGAGGAACCTCTCACATCTCTGGAGGCATGGCACCTTTCATACCAAGCCGAGGATTTCGACTGGTGACCTCCAGCCTACTTGCGATGGCCTCCAACCTAGAAGCGATGCCTACTTGCGAT